CAAGAGTGGCTGGCCCTCTGGAAGTGGATGATGTCAAAAACAACAAAACATGATTAATTGCTACTTCGCGAACGTTTTCTTCTTAAAAATGACGAGTTTTTAGAGAAAATGAATAAAAAGGAGATTTTACACTCAACACAAATAAAAATTGATCAATTTTACGATCATAAATGAAATTCCAATAGAAAAAATATTGCTAGCATTCAATTAAAAATTAAATTAATACGTGCAAACTTGCTCGAACAACAACAACAACAACAACAACCGGATGTTTTGAAGCAGTTCCAGGAAGCGAAGGCAGTGGTAAGAAACATTCATGGGAGGACTTTGTCGCAAAAACATCTCCGAGCAGCACAACGGCATAAATGTGCCAGACGATGAACACTAGACTGATGCAAAATTTGAATTTTTCGTTCCACAGCGTTCCAACAGTTTAAAATCGGGTCCTGATTAGCCTCCGAAAGTTTAAACTCAGTTGATAAGAAACTGACTTGGCACAAACCATTTGAAGTTTATATGGCAATTACTTTGCCATACAATCTATTGCTTTTCGCATGAGAATTTTTATCAGCTACAACTTTGCAGAAAATCGTTTTTCAGCCAAACGTCAAATTAAATAGTTATCAATAGTTTAGGAGATTGATAATCTTATGACAAGTTTAAGCAACTGTATTGTGAGCAACACTGTATTCTGCAGTGTGACTTAGTAGCCATGATTTTTGTCCTCTATTCTACGCGCCATAAACACCAATGTTGCCTGCTGAACAGTTAATTGAGCATAATCATAAGACATCACTAACTTGAATCATTAATAATTTGTGTACCTCACATATGATCGAAAAGTGGTCTTGAACAAACTTGTAGCTGAGAAAATTTTCAACAAGCGCAATTATCATTTTATAAAGTAGAGTAAACTGGTGAATTTTGAGATAGATATGAACCGAAATTATGATTTCCCCATAGTAATTTCCATATAAACTTCAAATGGTTTGTGCCAAGTCAGGTTCTTACTAAATTAGTTCAATTTTTGCGAGGATAATCAGGACCCAATTTGGAACCGTTTGAGCACTGTGGAGCGAAAATTTCAAATTTTGCATCAGTCTAATGAACACCCTGAGGGGTAAGCGACAGCACAACAAGGCGGTTATCAAACGACCCGAGGGTTACACGGATAAGGTAGAAGAACTAGCAGAAGAACTGGCGAAGCACTACGGCGAGAGATCGGCGACCTGTAGTTATCCCCCACTGTTCCAAGCAGCGAAGGAAAGAGTGGAACGGGATCGCGTGGACTCTCTTCCAGACACCAACAACATCTATAATTCGAACTTCACCCTGGATGAGCTTCTGTGGGCACTCGACAAAGGACGTAGTGTCTCTACAGGTCTTGAATCGGTACTTCGGCGACGTCTGCCTGTATCCGTCAAGATCTCGTTACTGGAGCTTCTAAACAGAATGTGGTGTATTGGCGTGTACCCTATCAGCTGGCGAACCGGAATAATAGTGCCGATTCCGAAGCCGAATTCATCTGAGTCTGGTCCTGCAGCTTTCCAGCCCATCACTCTGACCAACTGTATCGCGAAGGTGTTCAAACGCAATTTTGAATTTTAGAGCTGGGATGGACATTATTTCCTCTGCCATGTTATGAATCACATTGCTTGTTAATCAACATTCAGGCATTGAAACAGCGTCGGGATTATGCTACGGTCTCTTCTGTGAACAATATCACTTCACAACGCATTGACTCAGTTTATTTATTATCAAGACTTAATTTTTAGCGGCGCCGGTGGTGTAGTGGTAAGCGTGATTACCTCTCACCCCAGCAGGCATGGGTTCAATCCCAGTCAGCACCGCCGGGATGTTCTGAAGCATAACATCTCTTATCACGCCTTCCTTCGGAAGGGGGAAGTGAAGCCGTTGGTCCCCGGTTCATGAGTTGATGGGTCGATAGGTAGAGTCCAGGTGTGGGAGCTGCCTCCCTGGCGTTGGTAGCATTGGTGCCCAGCACGGAAAACAAATCAAGGAAAAAAATCAAGTGTATTGCACATTGAATAACACTACTGTTCAAAACAGATGGATTTGGAGTGTTTTGCATTTCCATGCGATGTAAATTGCTTGATCGGCAAGCTACACATCGAAAACATGAGTAGTGACTTGATCCTCATCAACCAGTCTCATATATGAGAACAACCGTAGGCCAGTGAGATCAAAAGAAGATAACGGCAGCAGTACACCTCACAACAGTCCAGGATCAAAGGGAAGCTCTGCCTCTGGCAGCATTGTTTATATAGTTTTCGATTCAATTTTATAGTCGGTAAAGTACATTATTGTAGAACATTGAACTATGATGTGCTATTGATATCACCATGTGAGGCACATAAACTTCAAGTGTGCCCCAATTCGAACCAACAGTGTTGAGGCATGCATAATATTCACACATGAAATGGATGTGTTCCAACAATAAGTGAAAAATTAAGTGTGAGACACACGGTGATGACGTGTGGAATTTTTTAAGTGTACGCTCGGTGAAGGCTATTTTAACGCCAGGAAGAGCTCTGGATGAACAAAAACCTGGTGTGGACTTGCTGGAACAATAGTAGCAAATTAATAACAGACATGGTCAATCAACTAGGATTGGTGGAATTTCGCCTTTCTGGTAATGATGGAAATGATGGATGATGAAAAAATATATAAATCGAATATTGTCTACTCCTCTCTAAAATCAAACGAACCTATGGAAGCACCCCTCATTGCACGACGAACTGCAAAACTATTCCAAACTATCGCCCACCATACTCGGGAGGGATCACGTGAAACTATTTCTGCTGCAACACACCCTCAGTGGAAAACGTTGCAAAACATTCCCTCGGCCCGGGAACAGCTCGTCCAGCACTTAGGTACCTACCGGCATGCAACACACAACTATTTTTCCTCAAACAAGCACCCAAGCGAGAGAGTGAGCAATAAGCGACGAACTTCCTTGTATGTTGGTATATCCTTCCTACGTGTGCTGCGAGGTGGCAACAAGCGCCGTATCACCTTCAATGAAAAAAATATATGCCTCCACGTAGATTCGCGTGTTCTGCATATGCTCGGACAGTTTGGTTCCTCATCGAGGATATATTCCGCTAATTTGCATAATCGATTCCTTTGCTCTATTCCACATTCTATACGCTCCCAGTCCTTCGTTTTCTTCGGTGTGTGTGCGAATATATGTGTTACAGCTGCCGCTATTTTCGCCTGCCCGCTGCTGCACTGCACCTCTATTTGTAGGTGAAGGAAGTGAAGGAAATTTGAATTCCGTGAACTTTTCAATGAACTCTCCCGAAAATGATGTTGAGCGGGGAAGGCGTGGATGCGTGGTGGCCGTTGTTGTTGTTGTTGTTGATGTATGCATTTGCTAAACAAATTTGGTTCTCTGCCATGTGGGTGGGATTGAATTACGCAGACAGCAGAAGCAGGGTGGTGGTGACGCCGTTTATTGACTGTGACGGGAGACTAGATACGGTTCGGGTGAAAGGAATATGTTTGCGGGTTGGATTTAGTGGATAGCAGCACGTGGGGGAGGATTTCTGTTGCTAGAAGTGAATTTTGTTTAATCGAAATATTTATAGACAACGCGATGCGTTGCAATGGCAGGGTTCCCCCAACCCTGCGGCAGTGCTTTCAACCGTCATTCGGGTGAATTCCTCGAATATAAGGGACAGGCCCATGCGTGCCAAGAAATTGGGCTATGCAGAAAGGAAATAATAAACAGGTCGTCTATGTCTTTCGATAGGCGAAAGTGTTTAGTTGTTATGCAGAAATTTGCCTTTCCAGCATATTTTGTCACACGCAATTATGCGTGGTTCATAATTTGATGTTGATAGCTGTGAACAGACAACTTGTGGCTTTGAATTTGGTCCAAGGGAATTTCAAAGCAACATAAACTATCACGCATAAGTTTTGGGAAATGCCATAGTTTGCGTTTGTTTACGTCTAACACATCAAGCTTCTTTGAATTAAACTTTATGTTACTGCCAGTCCAGCTTTGAAGCTTCATCGACATAGATTGATTTTTTTTATGAATTTTACCATGGCTTATGTTTACCTAGAGAATGAGTACTTAAGGGGGTTGGATTTCAATAGATCTTTAGCGGGAATGACACTGATTAAGACTGCAGATGATTGCCAAAATACCCTCGAAAAGCTTACTTCGACATCCACGAAATTTCTACCACCTTTCTCAAAAAATTTCTTTAGATTTCCCGAGGATTCTTCAATTTACTAGCAAAACTTATTCCGATTTTCCGAAAATCTCTGCCAACTTCCTCCAAATGCATCTTCTGACCGTCTCAAGGTGTCTTTCAAGTCTCTTCAAATGATTTCCCAGATTCTGTCATCCATCTTCTTTCAATAATTTCTTCCGATATTTCTCGGAGTTTTCCCTACTTCCCCGAATATTTCATCCGATTTGCTTTTATTTCCTTGATTTGTTTTCCGTCGATCTTGTTTTCCGTGCTCCCACACCTGGACCCTACCTATCGACCCATCAACTCATGAACCGGGGACCAACGGCTTTACTTCCCGTGATCAGAGATCTTATGCCTCAGAATATCCCGGCGGCGCCGACTGGGATTGAACCCTGGCCTGTTGGGGTGAGATATAAACACGCTTACCATTTACCCGATTTTCTGAAAGTTTCTTTCAACTTCCTCGAAAAGTTTATTTATATCTTTAAAAAATCCATACGACTAGTTAAGTTACTTCTAACTAACTCCAAAAATTGGATTAAATTTCCCCGGATGTTTAATCAAAGCCCCTCCAAACTTTTTTTTTTTGTTATTTGCATGGATTTTTTTTCCAACACCTTCCAAAAGATTCTTCCAACCCAAAATCCTCTAAAAGTTTCTTCATATTACTAAAGGAAGTTTCAACTAACTCCCTCCTAAAGTATCTTTCCCCATCCTCCGGAATTTAAACAACTGATTGACTTTCAAATAGCACAAAATCTTCTGACCACCTCAAGCTTTATTTTCGTTCTCGAACATTTCGAGCAACTTAAATTTCTGAATCTTCCCGGAGGTCGTCTTTGGGAATTGTTCAACTATCCTCAAGTGCCTTGGGATCTTAAAATTTGACAGCCGTCCTTGACAAAACTCCCTAACCCCCTCCAGTGTCACTGCTTCCTCCTTAACCGAGTCCATTACCCTCACAAATGCACAAATTTCCTCCACCAACCGCTCATCCGGAACTCCGATGCAGTAAGTTTCCAGCAGGTCAGGATGGGTGTTCAGCACATCCTCAATCTCCTTGGGGTACACATTTTCTCCGCCTCTGATGATAACTTCCTTCATCCGACCGACCACCGTTCCGTACCCGTCCGGCCGAAGCACAAACTGGTCACCCGTTTTCAACCACCGATCCGCAGCGATCACCTCTTTCGTCTTGAGGTCGTCTTCCCAATAGCCAAGCATGGTGCCGTACCCTCGGAGCCACAGTTCTCCCGGTGTCCCATAAGGCACCGCATTACCGTCGCTATCAACGACCTTTGCCTCGAAATGCTCCATAACTCGTCCCACCGTAGACAGAGCTACGTCCGTTGAATCCCCCAGGTCGGACGTGAAAGTAGCCCCCGAAGCTTCCGTCATTCCATATCCAGCGAGGACCTCTCGCACACGCATGGCTTCCTTAACTTCCAAAATCAGATTCGGCGAGCAACTGGAAGCTCCGATCAGGGCAAAGTCGATCTCAGGAAGTTCCCTGCTCTCCCGGCGAAGTTCGTTCAGCAAATCCACGAACATGGTTGGAGTTCCGTAGATAAGGGTGCACCTGAAAAATGCATGAATGAGTTAGGAGCTCTAGAAATCAAAATTGAATGCATACTTTTCCTCGCTGATTGTCTTCAAGGACGCCGTGGCTTGGAACCCAGCGGACGGGAAGACCAGCGTAGTCCCGTAGTTGAGCGATGCCATAGCTCCGAGGGACATGCCAAATACATGGAACAGCGGAACCTGTACACATATACGGTGTTGTTTACGATCCAATTCCAATCGGTGTGCCGAATGAGTTCCATTGTTGATGACTCCAAAGTGAGACAACAGGGCAGCTTTCGGTTGACCCGTTGTTCCGGAGGTGAACATCAGGCAGGCCCCGTCGTCTGGGGAGATGGACGCTTGAAGGGACTCTATTTTGGAGATTTCCTGCTCGGAAGGGATTTGCATCAATTCGTTCAGGGTCATGGTGCCGCTGTGAATAAAGATTTGGTTGGATTAAGATCAAGAAGGTACCAAATAGGAATACCAAGCAACGTACGGTAGCTTTTTCGCTTCTGTATCCACGATGACCATTTTCAAGGAAGGAACTGTGGCAGCTTTTAGTTTTCCAGGAGAGCTATCGGCAAGCTCCGGCATCAACTGACACAGCATATCGTAGTACTTCTGCGTTCTGAAGCTCTCGATGGTTACCAGGGCTTTCACTTGTACTTTGTTCAGTGCGTATTCAATCTCTGGCAGTTGGAAGGCCGGATTTATCCCAACCTAGAAATGTGCCGGATGGGAGCATGAAGTATTTTGAGCGTAGCGTTTGGCCTAGTCTACTTACAGCAATCATTCCGGCACGAGCCACGGCCAAATTGGTCAGATAGTAAGCCGAGCAATTTGGAGCCCAAATTCCAACGCGATCGCCCTTTTCCAAACCAAGCAGATGAAGACTACTGGCGATGCGATCAACCTAGAAGAGATTCTAAAATTGGTCTTATGTTCGTCACAAACCGATCAATGGTACAACCTTGTCCATAACGTCGGAAAACGAGAATCGCTTAGCTTCATGGCAGGACACCAACGCTTCATTGTTCGGGTAGTTCTCCGCTGCCTGCCGCAGATGCTGCCCAATGTTTCTGTACAGCAGTGGTTTGGCATCCGGGAGGTGAACGTAGCTCTGATTATCGACAGCCGATGATTGGACTTCGATCCCAGATGAGTATGAAACTTTCGGTGATATGTGGAGCAGTCTGTGATAGAGGAGCAGCTTATCAATATCAACCGTTGCAATGTGAACATTTACGAAAAACTAATCGTTCCCTACCTCCGTTGAACCACACAAACAGCAAAGCGCGCACTTCGAAGCATTTTGAAGCCGAAAACTGTGATCAAACTTTGAGCCTATCTTCTCCGGGAGGGAACTTTGCACAGTGATTATGGAATCTGCACTCTTTGTAAACTGCTGACCTACCGTTTGCGTTTGTTCAAAATGAGCTAATGAGATGCTGTCGTCGTCGTTGCAACAATGAGAATGATGCTCAACGTCCGAAAATTCGAGTCAAGTGTCGGTAATCAGTGCCGCCGCTACAAACGGTGCTCGCGAAACATAATCACAATCTCGTTGGGCTGGTGATAGTAGTGTCTTTTTAGAGCATGGAAGTGGTGGTGTGTAGATTGAAATACGGAAACATGAAAACAAACGAGTTAATCTCATGGGGTAAAGGTACCTAAAACGCAACAGAGCTTAAATTAAATTATAATTAAACGGCAACCTTGCAAACTTTTGCTATGATATGGGAAAACTCCCAGTGTACAATATGAAATTGCCTTTAAACTATAATCTGGTAATGCCGAAGTATACCGATCGGCTTTAATTATAAACGTTAAAATGATATAAGTTTCTCCATACTTTTGTTCGAAATTATCCTCCCTGCCTCTACCTTACATACTTATCAATGTCTATGTTGAGGGCATTTATACTATTCCATGATGCACGTGTTATCATCTCTTGAGATTTTCCAACTCATGAAGATTTTCGGGACTTTGTTTAAAACTTCGTTGAGCCTACAGGCCTGCAAGGTCTTGACTTCAGAATAGCTAGGAGAGTACCAAATATCTTATTGATACTATTTCATGATAATTATGTTATCAAAAGGCTTTTGAGCTTCACGAACTGATTAAGATTTTCAAGACATTGTTCAAGACTATATTGAGCCTGTAGATCTTCAAAATCTTAACCCTAGAATAATTTGCAGAGCATTAAATATCGCGAGTTAAAATTTCATCCCCGGACAAGTCACGAATCACACAATAATTCCAGTGCTGTCATGGTAAATTGTAATGCCATAAATCAATACTTAGAGTTGACTGATCAACCCCACTATGGTAGACAGGGGTAATTGGAAACGTGACTGTTATTTGCTACAGTCACATAAAGACCTTTGAGTGGGTTGGTTTATTTCCTTTAAATTCCGTTATAATTGCTTATCTGCTTATCTTTATGTCAAAAGAAAAGCAATTATAACGGAATTTAAATGAAATAAACCAACCCACTCAGAGCTCTTCATAAAGGGATTCCGTTAAGCGGTTCGACAATTTTAAAGGATACAGTCAGATATTAAAAGTAAGACAAAGGCCATAGTGTTCTTGCAATTTTCCAGGTGTACATAAAACAGTCCATAGAACAGGGTAATTGCCAAGATTTGGAAGGAGGAGATTTTACCGGAGGAGTGGATGGAAGGTGTCATATGCACAATCTACAAAAAGGGCGGCAAGTTGCCCGAGCAAAGTCCAGCATCAAAATGACAGCAAATTGAAATCAAATTTTGATATCAACATCAAACTGAAATCATAATTTGTTTTTAGTTTACACATTGACAAATTTGATACCAAATTTTGTTTTCATTTTGCTGTACATTTGCTCTTTAAAAATATGTTGTTACGGATTTGTTTTCATTGCCTTAGCATAACATCAAATTGAATACTTGTTTTGTTATCAACAGGAAAAATTGATATCAAATTGAGTTTTCAGTTTGCTCTCACTGATAGCAGAAATAGTTTTCAATGTGATGTCACAGGAAGATTGCGTTGCTCTCAATTTTGATATTTTAACCGTTAAAACGACCAAAATGACAGCAACCTGAGCAATCATTATCAGCGAAATCACAACATCAAATTTAGATTTCAATTTGATCTCAGTCTTTGCTCGGGTGGAGTGCTGCAACTACCGCGCGATCACACTGCTGAGCGCCGCCTACAAGGTACTCTCTCAAATTCTATGCCGCCGCCTGTCACCATTTGCAAGAGAGTTCATCGGGCAATACCAGGCGGGATTCATGGGTGCCCGCGCTACCACGGACCATAGTCATCGATTTCAAATCCACATACGACACAATCGATCGAGATCAGCTATGGCAGATTATGCACGAGTACGGATTTCCGGATAAACTGACGCGCTGGGTCAAGGCGACGATGGATCGAGTGATGTGCGAAATTCATTTCGCAGAAGGAGTGAAAATCCTTCGGCTGCCTTGTCCAATAGCGCTTAGAGATCAATCAGCATCTCACTTTCTGTAACTATGATACTTTCTTTGGGGGGATAGCAAATTGCTTTGGCTTGCTGTACTTTGTAATACAAAGGATACTGAGCTTTCACTGGTTCTCTTATAATATTGTAGGAATCTCCTGTCAGATTTTTTTTCTAGTTCGTTTTATTGCTATGTTCGCGTCGTGGAAGTGCCGTCATCGACAGGCGCATTGGCAAGTCTAATTGCACTTGCCAATAAACAAAGCATGGTACGCAAGCGTACTACTGCTCCTGCATCGGAGGGCCCTAGCAAGAAGGCCCAAACGGATCCAAGCGCTGCTTCGGATGACGCAGCAAATCGGCTGCTACAGAGCAACCAATTCTCGGTGCTCGGAGTAGAAAATGGCGGTGGTGACGCCACTGAAATCGCGAAAAAGGAGCGGATTCCCCCGCTGTTTACCCCGATGAAGGACGTCGCCCAGCTTAGGGATGAGCTGGCAAAACGCAAATTGTTCCCGCGATTCAAAATCTGTAGCGTTGGAACAAAGATCATGTGCTCCAGCCTACAGCAGTACAAGTCGGTCGGTGACCTGCTGAAGAACAGCACAGTGGAGTTTTACACTCACGATTTGCCTTCGATGAAACCATTGAAGGTTATTTTACGAGGTATATGAGCTGGTGAGGCTCGGATTGAAACCAGAAGCAGTCCACCCAATGAATCGACGGCCTATGCCCAATACCAACTATCGTGACCAACTGTTTCTGGTCCACCTTACGAAGGGCTCCACCACCCTTGCTGCGCTCAAGAGCAACATACGTGACCTGTTTCAGGTAATTATCGACTGGGAATACTACAAGCCGCAACACCGTGATGTGACCCAATGCACAAGTTGCGTCTCCTTCGGCCATGGCACGAAGAACTGTCATATGAAACTACGCTGCGACAAGTGTGCTATGGCCCACTCGACGGCGACCTGTGCTCAAGCTGATGACACCGACCAGAAGTGCGTAAATTGCGGTGGAACTCACCGTGCCACTACTCGGGACTGTCCCAAGCGAACGGAATTCATCACCATGAGGAAGAAGGTGGCTACTAGCAACCAGCCAGGCTGGCATCGAAATAAACGTGCACCACCAGCCATCACGGACGAACAATACCCGGCAATCCATCCTCGTCGTCTGGTTCCAAATCTTTCACCGCTTCCTCTCAACAACAGTCAACGAGCCGCCCCCTCAGCTCAGCATCGCCTCACTGCTGCTGCAGCTCTGCCAAATCAAGCTTCTGCCTCGGCGCCTGGACTATCGTATGCGCGTGACTCAGTTGACGAATCTCCGTTAAGATCAGAGGAACTAGTAACACTGGTTGCAGAGGTGATCGTCATTCTGCGCACCTGCAAGACTCGATCTGAACAGCTTCATGCTGCCTTGTCACTCGTCACCAAGTATGGACCGTGAAGCTATACAAATTGCAAATTGGAACGCTTGCTCACTGACGAACAAGCATAGAGAGCTACTCGATTTCCTCAACACCAAGGAGGTCGACATTGCTATCATCACCGAGACGCATCTGAAGCCCGAACTGAACGTATTCCTTGCCGACTTCTGGCTCGTCAGACTTGATCGCACCTGCTCTGGAGGTGGAGGAGTGGCCATCGCTGCAAGACGGAACATCAGTTGCCGGCTGCTACCAAACTTCCAGCTGAAAACAATTGAAGCCATCGGAGTGAAGGTGAGCACATCACTTGGCCCAATCACCATCATCGCGGCCTACTACCCCAAGCAAACCAACATCAGGGACGGGTCGTCAGTGGCCCTCCGCAAAGACATCATCAAACTCACCCGGAGGAGCGGGAACTTTATCATCGCTGGCGATCTGAACGCAAAACATCAAGCTTGGGGCAACGGTCGGAGCAATAGAAACGGCATCATCCTCAATGAAGACCTGCAAGAGGGCCACTATACCATCTTGGCCCCGGACTCTCCCACCCAGTTGAGTCGGTCTGGGGTCCATGCGACCATCGACATCTTCGTAAGCAACATGGGACACAACGTCTCGAAACCTGTGGCATTCCAGGAGCTGAGCTCGGACCACTACCCGGTGGTGGCCGAAGTTGGATCCTCGGTAAACCGATTCGAAGCTTCCCGGCGCAACTACCATCGAGTCAACTGGGCGCAATATCAACACTGCGTCGACACAACCATCGACTACGATGTCCAACCGGGGACGTCCGAAGATGTTGACCGGTGTCTACAAACCATCGATGAGGCGATTTCCCGGGCCAGGGAACAACACGTGCCAGTATCCAGACAGGTGAGTAACACTCTGAACCTTGACAGCCCTACCAAAGATCTCATTAGACTCCGTAACACCATTCGTAGGCAGTACCAGCGTACTGGCCTGCCTAACTTGAAGACCAATTGTAATCGATTAACAAAGATCATTCAGGCCAGGATGGTGGATCTCAGAAATAACGATTTTGCTAGTAGGATCCGCTCTCTCCCAGATTGTGCTAAGCCCTTCCGGAAACTTACAAAAATTCTTAAAAACAAGCCTAGGCCCATTCCCCCACTGACCCCACTGGATCGTCCCGGCGACCCAGTGGTTCATCTAATAACTCCTGAAGAGAAGGCTGCCGCGATAGGTCAACACTTCGTCAGCTCCCATAATCTCGGACAAAACATCGTCAGCCCTCATGAATCTGAGGTTGCTGGAAATGCAACCAATCTTCTTCAGATTCCTAACATTTTTTCCAGAGGAATCCGAGATTATGACGAACTGTTGGCCTATATCAAATCATTTTAAAACATGAAGGCCCCAGGTTTCGACAACATCCTGAATCTGGAACTCAAACACTTGAGTTCCAGATTCTACAACCATCTGGCACTGATTTTTAATCAGTGCCTCAGACTTGGCTACTTCTTCAACCCCGTGTTGGAAGTCAGCTAAAGTCATACCCATCCGGAAACCTGGGAAGGATCCGTCCTCTCCTTCAAGT